GCTAGGTTCCCCCTCCAAAGCAAATTGATGGTTCCAACATCAGTCATTGTGGAAAGATGCTAATCCTGGGGTAGGAAGGAAGGCAAGCTTGGACTGGGGTCAGGGTGTGGGGATGCTAGAAACCTTCCTGGTCATGGAGGTGGTGGTTTTGGTGTGGGCAACAGTGTGGGCGGAGTGGGTTAGTCCTGACCTGTGCGGGGCTTGGCCTGCTAAGGGACTAGGATATAGCTGGTTCCTGTTGGTTTTCAGAGAAACTACTTCTCATTGTGGTCAGACTTCATTTACTTGTGGCACATTTGTTCTTCTCAATGCAGACAGGAGTGCCCTTGATGGTGGGCACTGGCAGTGTGGGTCAGGGCTAGTGTTGTGGCTATTGGAGGGCCCTAGTCATGGCTGAGCCCAGGGGGCCCACAGTAAGCAGAACCCAAGGAAAAACCATGGGTACCAAGTGGCAGCACAGGCCTAGTTCATGAAGTAAGTTCATGCAAGTTACCCACCCCCCCACATACACATAAACCCAGGGCCCCCAGATTTCCCTGGGATGTGTGTGAGAGGCCCTGGAGTTTCCTAGGAGCAGGAGGAGATCCAGGCAGAGAAAGACCATCCTGGGTGACTCACTGTCATGCTATTTTCCACACCAGCCTCCTGTTGTCTGGGAAATGTGCCTTCTCCTCCTTGGCTGACTCCCAGTCTCTCCCTCCAAGCTAGCTTTCCCTCCTGATATCCGTACCTCCTAGGCATCTTCTGATATTCAAGACCCCAAACCCAACATGTCCCACAGTGAGCTCTTCTTCCCCTGCCAATCCCTCTCCCTCCGCTCAGCCCCCAGAACAATACCATCCCCCAGCCAGCTGCTGGCCAGAACCCTGGAGGGAAACTTGACTCCCTCTTTCCTTTTTTCTGTCACACCCACTTAATCATTTGGTCCAGTGTGTCACCTCCCAAACACCTCTTGATTCCCTCTTTTTTTCCATCTTTGCTGCCCCAGGCAGAGTTCTGGGGTGACCCTTGCAGGTTACCCTCCCACCCTCTTCACCCCCACAGCTCTTCCTGGTGACCTTCCTGGTCCTGTCACCATCCTGCTCGCAATTCTTCGTGGCTCGCCATCACCTTCAGGAGTAGAGCTCTCCCCACGGCACAGCATCAGGACCTTGTGTGTGCCTGTGTGTGGCCCCAGGCTACCTGTCCATCTGTTCAGTCTTGGGCACCGCCCTCTGTAGCACTTCCCGTGACAGCTCTGAACACTGGGGGTGGAGGGGTGGGCTGGGGTGGGGGCTGTTATTCCCAAGGTCTTCTGTTTCTTTGGACTGGAAGGAATTTCAGACTCCCCAGAGGGAAGAGTATAGAAGAAAAAGCTCCTCCCTCTGCCCTCCTGGGGCAGGGGTGGGCTATTTGTTGACCTGGGAGAAAAGACACAGCGCTTTCAGCCAGATATCTTGCTCTTCCTGTCCTGCAGAAAGATGCATGTGGTCCTGTTTCCCAGTGTTTGTTGACTGGGGTGGACTTTGCTCTGGGAAGGGGGGAGGTCTGTGGTTTTGGGTGGGAGGAATTCAATTTATGGGGGACCCTTCGAAAGCCCACTCCCTCCAAGGGCTGTTTATTATTCCCCTAAGACTCTTGTGAAATGGGCTCTTTCAAACCCTCATGGTTCAGCTTTTGCTCTTTCCTCCCTGAAAGATCCAGCCATTGTAGTGAATTTCTTTCTTGTGTCCAATCTCACTCAGGTTCTGCATGAGCTGTGGTGGTCACCCTTAACCCCTTTCTCCAGGCTGACTCCTGGGCACCCTCCTTGTGTCTCCACCACACTTTGTTAATCCGTCTATCCTTACGAGTCCCTAATTATGCTGCAATGTCTGTATGTTTAATGCAGGGGTTTTTTGTTTGTTTGTTTCTTTGTTTTCTCTTTTTCATCTTTTTACCTCTTATTCTTGGCACCCGGTCTGGCACAAAGGATTTTGCTTGGTAAAAGTTTGCTGAATAATTTAGTTCAGCCTAGTGTGTTTAGCATAGATGGTGTCCTGGGCACGCTAAGCACTGGGATACAAGCTGTGAATAAGATGGGGACCCCTGGAGATGTATGGTCTAGTGGCAAAGGCACACACACTTGCAATTAAATAATTATCAAATAATATGCTAAATTCCACAACTAAATGTACGTGAGATGCGGCTCTTAGGTGGTTAAATACTGGGTCTGGAGTTAGGACCCAGATTTAAATCCTAGCTCCACAACCCACTAGCTTCATTGTCACAGCTGTGGAAGGGGAGGAACAGTACCCGTCTCCACAGGTTAAGGGTAAAAGGACATCTCCTTTTTTTATCCGGCGTGGTTACTGGGCTCAAGTTTGCAGAATTGTTTGTGCTGCCTCGTGTAGGAGCCTGGAGCCTTTGATTTTGCCTTGGGCAGTAGGACAGCTTATACGGAGGAGGGACACTGGCCCCGGGTTCAGAGACAGGGGCTCTAAATTGCATCTCTGGAGAGAAGTCTTTAGGGCGGGGTGGGGTCTGTAACCCTCTGACCCTCAGGCATGGCAGCGTCCAGAGAAGTGAGCTCACAGGAGCAGCAAGAAGATCTGGGGTAATGTGTCCCCAGCCTGCCTCTGAAGCTGCTGAGTCAGGCCCAGGCCCAGAGGGCTCTGTTTTGTTCCGAAGGAGCTTGTGGCCGAAGGACAGGCCCGAACAGGGCCTGGCTGCTGGGACTTTGTGCCCAGTTATTTCATGGGAGCAGCTCAAAGCTCTGCCCTGCTGGGGCCCCTCCCATGCCCCCCACCCCTGCAGGCTGGCCCCAGGGAGCCTCAGCCCAGATTCCTGAAGGGAGTTCCAGCCTGGATTTACAGAGGGAGTGTTTTTGGCTTGGGGCTTTGTTCTAGATGTAGCCCCCAAAGCAAAGAATTCCCGCTTCAAGAGGCAGGTTTCAACCAGTGATGAGATCCCAGCTCTTGGAGTCTTTAGCCTTGAGCAAGTGGTCTCGGTTCCTTAATAGCTCCTTCCTCTGTCAAAGGGAGAGAGCATCACCAATCTCCCGAGATCCTGACCAGAATGAAGTGAGAAAAGGTGTGTTCTCTTACTTTGCATCAAGACCTTCCTACCTAATGTTTATTATTCTCAGGGGTCCTGTGGGAGAGGTAAAGAAATGAACTAGAGACTCACTTCTGATTTGATCCATCTTGGAGGTGCCTGGAAATCAGGGCTTCTTGAATGTTCTCATGGCCCAGGGATCTGCAGGATGGATTCTGACACAGCAGTTCTGTGATGGGGGCTGCGAGTCCACGTTCCTAACAGTTCCCCCACCCTCCACCCCCAGCTGAGCTGACTCCTGATGTCCTGTCACCACCACACATGGGCAGCTCAGGGCTCGTCCTCTTCACGTCCCTCAGGGTTCCCTGCCTTGTTCTCCTAACCAGCCTGGCTGCCTCCAGCTTTCCCCGACTCTGTGCAGGCTGCTCACTGTCACCGGACGAGTCTTACTGAAGTGGAGGAGAAGATGTCTGATGTCCAGCCACAATGATGGCAGGAGCCGCTGCTTTCTTCAGAGAGGGGCAAGGAGTGCATCTTTGTCTCAGGAGTGGAGGGGCTTTTATCCAGCAAAACACCTTGGAGGCTGCCTGGGTGTGGGAGGTGAATGACCCAGGGCTAGTTTACAAGGAGACCTTAAGTGGTGTGAGGTAGAGCATGAAAGGGGACTATTTCAAGTCCTGACCTTTCTCCATGTGGGGGGTGATGATGTTGAGCTCTTTGCTGAGACTCAGTTTCTCTGTTGGGAAAAGGCTTAGCAGGTGCTGGTAATCACAGGCCAGTCTGCAGGGAGGAGCACCTGCTCTGGGAAGGACCAGATGAAAGGCCCAGAGCCCATTCTTTTCATCCCCTCTCTGCTCTGCTCCAGTGTCTGGGGGGGAAAAGAGAAAGCCTGGGTCAGTCCCTCAGGCTTTTAGGAACATGTGCATAGGCATTCGCATAGGATCAAGTCTTTCTTGAAAGAGCTGGTGGTCATCTCCATAATGTGCTTGGAGATACTCTGGAGAAAAGGGCAAAATGGGCAGGCAGGTGCTGGGGAAGAGGATAGGTGTCCCAGTTGGTGGCTCCCAGCATTGCCAGGGTCTGGACCCTACAGGACCCTTCCCCACAGCCGAGAGGACTTCCCTAGTTTTCTGACAGCCTCATTGTCAGCCAACGAGAATCCCTGTGCTGCCTTCACGTGGTTCTAATGTCAAGAAATAGAAAATTAAGATTTAGGAGATTGGACAAATCTGAAGGAGTTGCTGTGCATCTGGAGGAGTCTGGAGTTGTAGCCAAAGAGTCTGCCACCGGGGGGTTGGAGGGGCTGCTCTAGAAGGTCAGATTCTAAGAGCGGATCTGGAGGCACGCAATTTTCTAGCTGACGAATGAGAAAATGCAGATGGCGATTACTGCACAGAAACTGCATTCGGGACATGGGGGCCCCCGTGAGGCTTTATGCACGTTTTTGGTCTCTTTGCACAAAAGAGATAATTGGTGTGAGCCTGGCGGGTCTGTTAGCTAAACACAGATGTGTGCTTGCAGCTGCAGCTGGACTTGTCCAGCGGCAGGAAGAAATTGTGTGCTGTGCAGGGGTGAGCAACGGACAGAGCAGGGCAAGCCAGCCGCTGGCCTGTGGCGCCCCTGATTCCTCCTTGACGGCCTAGATGTAAGATAGGGAAACGCTTTGAAACACGGGAGGCCCTGGAGTTAATCTAGCAAATTACTTTACACCTATGGCAGCTCTGTGGACTTAGAAAAAAACAAACCCCAAAACCCCAAATCCACTCTCCCAATATCTTTCTTTCACTTATTTATTAATCTACTTCCAGAAAGTGATGGAGGCAATTTTTAATTAAAAACACGGATCTAAACTGGGTAGCTTAGACATAAGTCATAAAGGTCAAAAGCCAGAGAGGAAGCAGGGAGAAAATTCTGCGCAGAACTTAAGGTAAGAGGTACTAGGCACTAAATGCAATCCTGACCCTCACTTGTCTTGTTTTCTCCAGCTTCCCATATTTGTGACCCTGAAGAAGTTGCCTTTCCCATGGCTCCCTCCTGAAAGAAGTCACGGAAAATTTCTCAAGGAGTTCAAAGCTGGAGTCTGGATCCTCTCACAGCAGCTTTCAGAGCCCAGGGGTAGAGCTCAGGAATCCTCCTTTCTGAGCCTGTGGCCCCCTGCTGCGCGGCCCTCTCCTTGCCCTGAAAAGTCACTGCTCACCCGCCATGTTTGTTCTTGACCCTAGACCCAGTGAAAGCCCCTGTCCTGGCCTCAGCTCACATGGTGAGTGTCTAGGGGCGAGGCAGCTGTGGCAAGTATGGGGAGGCCAGGTGCTGCCTGGAGCGTCTGCTTCTCCCCTGCCTGCCGCTACCTACCGCTAGCAGGTGCCGAGGACAGGTCTTTGGCTGGTGTCTGCACATGGACCCCTTCCCATCTCAATGTTCATCTGAGTTGGGGCTGTGTGGCCAGAAGTGCAGGGAGAGGCCAAGGGTGGGAGAGGCAGGAGGCTGGAGAGTGGACAGGGCACTGAAGACCATGTTGAACCGGTGATTTTGTGTTTTAAGCACGGAAGGGCCTAGTCAGATTAGATCCTCATGCCCACATAGCACCGGGTCCCCAGCTACTGTGACAGGTGACATTCAACACTCCCTTGGTCTCTGCCATTCCTTAGGTCCGCTCTCCGAGCTCCAGTCATACTGCCAATCTTTAAGTTCCTCCAAAGGACTTGCTCTCTCCTGTCTCTGGGCTTTCCCGTGAGTTTGCCCTTTTATGATTAAGAACCCACAACCTCCACTTGGCGGATGCCTGCTCCTTCCTTAGGAAACAGGGGCCAGCTGCCTCACCCTGGGGCAGGTGACCCATGGCTCCTTGTAGTTCCCCTTCAAAATATTCTCCTCACTTGTAATTACATGGATGGGGTGGATAGTCTCTATTTTTGTGGCCCAGCAGCCTATTTTGTATTATAGCTACTGTATCTTTCTGTTATCCCTCCTTCGCTCTCAACCTCTGTGCTGTGGGTAAAGCTGACCCCTCCCCTGGGGGAGCAGTGACCTAGTCTACACTAAGCAATAGTTCATCCCCCTCGGCTTCAGTGATGGGCCCAGGAATGGGCAGGTGATCTAAATGAGCCAATCAGGGCTAAGGGCACTCGATCCCTGAATACTTGTTTGAGTTTTGGGGATCATTAACTCATTCACTTCTAATGGCCTAAGTTGGTAATGATTGAACCGCAGGTTGCCTGGGTCACCATGACTTGCCTGAGAATTGAACTAACCAAGAGGGAGCGAAGGCAAGAGATGGCTCCTCGTGACGGCATTTAAGCTTTGAATCAAGCTGTTCCTAAAGCCAACTCTATCCTTGCAGGCTGCTCTTATAGGAACCAGTCAATTCTCTTTTTATTTTTTATTTATTTAAAGATTTTATTGACAGGGTGAGAGAGAGCGTGAGTGCATGCATAAGCAGGGGGAGCGGTAGGCAGGGGGAGAAGCCAGGAACCCTATGTGGGGCTTGATTCCAGGAGCCTGGGACCATGACCTGAGCTGAAGGCAGACGCTCAACTCACTGAGCCACCCAGGTGCCCTCAGTTCTCTTTTTTAAACACAGACCTGTTTGGGTTGGATTTGCTGTCAGTTGCAGTTAGAATAATATAAATGATAACCTTGATCTGTGTTGTCTTCCTTTTTCCATGATTGCAGGGACTATGTCTGTGTCCCCAGGGCCTAGTTCAGGGCCTGGTCCATAGAAATGTTTAACATAAATGAATCAAGACATGAAGAAAGGGATCTCAGAGCTTCTCCAACCCCACCCCTTCGTCCTTTCAGACTTGAAAAGGAGGCAGTGGGTTGTGGTTCTTTCTGAGTGATGATCCTGTTACAGAGTCCCATTGGAACTAATTTTCATTAGAGCATGGATCTCAGACTATAGGAAAGCAGCCCCTTACAAGTCACTGCCAAAAGTGGCTCTGGGAAAGACCTGTTGCCCAATGAGATTTTTAGAGTGCCTGAAGTTCTACTGTCAAGATTTCTTTGGCTTACAGTTCTGGGAACACTTAAGAATTCTCTGTGAATATATATATACACACATATATATATATATGTATATATATACTTATATGAATATAAGAAACTGTATTTACTTATATGAATATAAAGAAACTCTGAAAAGTTATACAAGAAACTAATAAAAATGATTACCTGTGGAGTTGGGATGGGAATTGGTTCAATGAAAAGCAGGTAGAGGAATGAGGATTTTTATATTGTTTGTATTTTGAGCCCTATGAATTGAGCCTTTTCAAAAATTAAGTTAAAAAAAAAAGAATATACATGAATGCAGCACCACTAGGAGCCATTATCAGCTTTTAACAGCTGGGCTGGGGGGCATTTATTTATCAGCTTGTTTTTCAACTTGGGAAGCTGGTTTAGTGGGGGAGGCCATGATAGTGTTGCCAGGAGTGGTTTGTCTTGGTTGAGGGAGGGGGTGGTAGAAAGAGGGGAACATCGGGAGAGGTCTGGCCTGGGCAGGTCACACATCTGACAAGGTGAGAGTAAAGAGAATTAGGCCAAAGGGAAGGGTAGGGCATTGAAGATACTCTTTCCCAGAGGCTCACCTGCCTCTGGTGGGACTTGATAATTTCTGACTCCTTTCACCTAAATAAGTTCCTGACACAATTATTTATGTGTCTGTAGGCATGTCCTCTCAACTTTCCGAGCCTGTTGACTTATCTGTAAAATGAAGGGGCTGGACTCATGGTCTAGTCTGATGTTCTTTCTGGTTCAAATGTTCTCATTCTAAGATTCTGTCTTCTCTCCTTGCAACCTGTCCAGAAAAGGCACAGGTTACAATAATCAGGGAACAATACGTGTATCTTCAGGACATGCCAAGCTTAACCACCGAAGAGAGCTTGGGATTTGGAGTATCTGGCAAGGACAGTCACAGTGCCTTCCTGTATGTCGCTGTTGCTCATGCAGGTTAAGCAGACCAGCACGTGATGATTTAGATAACTGTGCTGTGACGCGCTTCCTGCCACGCTCATCCTGCACTTCTGAGGCTCCCTGGCGGACCCCCTCATGCCCTCCTGATGCAGTGGACTACTTCATGACCGGTGGACACCTGCAGAGCTGAAAACCTGACCCTAGGGAGGCTGCTGTCTCTTCCCCCTGAGAGAACAGGGAAGGCTCTCACCTTAGAAGCACAGTCATGGTAGTAGCTCTGGTTGTCTCTGTGGCCAGAGGGTAGTGAAGGGGGCACAGGTAGCATTTGGGGATGACCGGAAGAACACAGACCTGAGGTGGGGTGATGGTGGAGCATCTGGGCTATTGTGTGGGGCTGGATGCTGGATATGGACCCTTGGGCACAGGGTCTGTTAAGGGATGGGATGCAGGAAGCCCAGGGGGAGCATTCACCAAGGGCTCAGGTTTAGATTTTTATATGATAGCAATAAATATGGGCATGGAGATACAGGGACAGGACTGAAAGGCTTTCTGTCCCTTAAAACTGGCAGCTCCTGGCTTTCAGCTCTTATGATGGGTCAAGCACAGCCGCTGCTCACAAGTAAGAGAATAGTGTGGGGTTAAAATTTATAGAACCTACAGTGTTTATAATACACTGGAAAAAATATGCACATACACCCATACAATATATATATTACATATTACATACAATATATATGCCATTAAATTCTGTACTCTTATGTGGCTTGTACTTTTGTGTTCATATAATAATTTGCTCAATGTAATGATTTAGATGACGTCAGAAGTTTTGTGATCAGTGTCTGGAACATTCCTTTTCTGACTGGCTGTGAGGCGCAGCCCCTGGAGGCCTAGCTGGCCCTTCTTTGCCAGCAGGGCCTGTGGGGAGATGGCTGGTCCCTCTGAGCCTTCCTCTGCAGATGGTGGGCTTGAGGTTGTCCAGGCTGCCAATAGGACACCATCTTTTTTTTGTTGTTAAGAAAAAAAAAAAAAATCAGTAAATGTCTCATCTGCCCATCCAGAAAGATGGGGACCAAATGAACAGTGTTTACCTCTTGGGAGAGTGGAAGGATATCTGCATTTTTATATATTGTGTGTTTCAGTGCACCAAAAGAGTGAGAGTTATGATTTTTTCCTTTTGTGGTTTTCTGTACCTTTAAATAAATAAAATTAAAAATAAAGCCCAGTCACTGCATTCTGGGAATATTTGTGCTGAGTAGTCATGTTCTAAGGTCACGGAGATAGGGTTTCCCCGACTCAGAAAGCCTGTCAGCACAAATGCACTGACTCCTGTGGCTTCCCCTATTGCCTCTGCCAAGCCTGGGACCCTGATTGCCCATCTTCTGTTGGAGGTGAGGAGTCCTTTCATGGTTCCTCTTGAACTTTAGGACAACTTAGGTGCCCTGAAGTACTTAAGGAGTCCTTTTTTGGAAGGGAGTTATTGAAATTGTGCCGATTTTTTTCCAGAGGTGGACCCTAAGCTCCAGATGACAAGTGCTTCCGCGCGGAGAGGGTGGTTCCGAGTCCTTGGTGAAAGGGATCTGGAGTTTGGTGCCTCTCCTTTTCTCCTAAAAACAGATAGGTGGTTCAGACCACGGAGGGTTTCTATTTTTGGCGGGAGAAGAAACACGGAACTCCACCACTGCGGGACATCCTTAACAACAGCAGGCCGACTGAGGGAAAATGGAAATGGATCATATTTTAAAACAGTGTTAGGGGTGTTGTTCCCAGACCACAGCCCAGCAGGGATATTTTATCCGGTCCTCAGTGCAGGTCTGCCCCCTATGGGCCAGATTCTCGATTTATTAGTTTCATCAAGTCTGGTAAGGCTCAGAAGATGCGTCTTTAAAAAAAAATTTATTTTTAAAATTATTTTATTATTTTAAAAAGATTTTATTTATTTATTTATTTATTTGTGTGTGTGTGTGTGTGTGTGTGTGTGTGTGTGAGAGAGAGAGAGAGAGAGAGAGAGAGAGAAAGCGTACAAGCAGGGGGAGCAACAGAGGGAGAGGGAGAAGCAGGTTTCCCGCTGAGCAGGGAGCCTGACTTGGGACTCCATTCCAGGACTCTGGGATCATGACCTGAGCCCCAGGCAGCTGCTTAATGGACTGAACCACCCAGGTGTCCCTTTACTTATTTTTGACCATGGGTCTTTTTAAATCCCTAATCCCTCAGAGCAAAATTTGTGTCTTTCTTCTCCACTCTAACTAGCTTAGCTCTGTACAGAGTTCTTCAGGACCTCCTTCCTCTGCTGGGTCCTTCAGACCTCAGGGACGGAAGAGTTGGACTCAGAATGTGACTGGATGACTCAACAGCTGACCCGAAAGTACAATAAGAATTTTTAAACCATAGAAGGGGAAGTTTAGGCAAAGTACTTTCCTTACTCTCTGTCTGGAAGAAGTGTATGTTTCTAGAGCAAGTACCGACACACAGATGAGCAGTTTCCATTTTGGTCATGTTATAACCCAAGATGAGCCAATGTGGGGCATCCCGTGTTGAATTTCACTAGGCTGTGAAGAGCCTAATGTACAGATTCTGCCTGTAGATGTCTGTATTTTGATGTTTGGGATTCACCAGAGTCAGACACTTCGTGTAAAGGACTGATTATTATAGTTCTCAAGAAATAATCTACGTTTTACCAACTCTGCTCCTGTGTGATGACCAGGAGCTCTGGGCCTGCTGGCCACACAGGGAGCACAGTGCAGGCGGGCGCTTTCATTTTGCGAAAATACTCCTGCGATTTGACACTCCCTTGAAACGGGTCATTTTGGGTCTGCGTATGACATGAAACTTGGTGGTGGTGAAACACGTTTAAGGCAAAGCAGAAGAATGCCAAAGGAGAAAACCGATCTAGTTTTGTGGCAGGAAGTTCTCTTGAAGGTATGCACTTTTATATTGACAGAACTTAGCAGAGAATTCACACTTACTGAGCACTTACTATGTGCCAGGTGCCATGCTAAATGCTTTCCATGGATTATTTCACTGGTTTCCTCCCACCAGTTCTGTGAGGTCGGTGTTTTTACAATCTCTTTTACTCTGGTGGGGAAGAGGCACAGGGAGGATAAGTGACTTGCAGAACATCCTGTGCCCTGAAGTTGTAGGGTCAGGACTCAGATCCAGGCATCTGACTCCAGGTCTGTGCTCAACCCTGCTGACCATCAGGGGGAAAGGCAATGAGGGGCCTGGGGCTCCTTCACTGGGGACACAGTGCTGAGCTTCCCTAGCATACATACCCATGCCTTTCCAGGTGGGGTCATGCAAATCCCTTCCTTCTTAGTCCCTGGGTTTTTTCACTAGACCTGGGATATTTCAGAATAAATTTGTGCTGGTAATTAGATTAAATATCCAGTGTTCTTCCATAAAAGCTGAGCGCAGAGAAGCCCAGGTAGTCTCGAGTATACAATAAGCAGTGGAAGGAAACCAAGGACAGAGAGAAGGGACTTGGAAGGCATCTGCTGGGTCTTTCCTAGCATCAGATGTTGAGGTGGAAGATGATCGTAATATGCTATGCCTCAATCTACTGGGAAAAATCTTGTTTAACCCCCATCCCTCAATAAAAAAAAGTAAAAAAAAAAAAGAAAGCATTACATTCTTTGAGAGCAAATCTTTTATAATTTTCCCTACACGTCTTGTGAATGTCAATTAAAAACAATCTTTGGGGCATGGGTTAAGTGTTTGACTCTCAGTTTCGGGTCAGGTCATGATCTCATGGGTTGTGAGATCAAGCGGGACATCAGGCTTCCCGCTCACAGGGGCATCTGCTTGAAGATTCTCTCCCTCTGCTGCTCCCTCTTAAATAAATAAATCTTAAAAAAGAATCTTTAATATAAGAACTTACAATGGCTCCTAAGTTACGTATAGTTTCGCTATTTACTTAAAATTGTTTTCAGTCAACTTTCTAGAGTCCTGATTTCTACTTGGTATTATTAGTTAAGTGGCACTCTTTGCAGTGGAAGACGATGCCCGTGACTGACTTTGGGGAGAGCCACGTGCTCTGAGATGCTTCTCCTATTGGGAAGGATTTGCACCATTTCCATCCGGAGGTTGCAATTCTTTCCCATGGAAGGAAAGTAGCTTATGATGGAACTCAAACCTTAACACCAGCATTGACACCAGGTTGTTTCCAGGGACTAAGAAAAACACTAATGATAATATATTCTGAACCCTAAATGAAATAAGTATTTTAGAATGATTACATCATGAAAAAGACTCATAAAAGTGTTTAATCCTAGAAGGGACATTAACAATTACCTACTGTAAGCTCATATTTTTATACCTGCAGTGAGAGCTTTTAAAAAATAACTTTTCTTTTTTTTTTTTTTTTTTAACAGACAAGGACAGTAAGCCCAAAGAGGAATGTGATGTGCCCAAGATCTACTGCTACTAGCAGATATTGGTCCTGACTGCACACTGGAATAACTGGTTTTTTAAAAATGCTGATGCTTGGGCCACACAGCAGATGGACTAATCAGAATTTCGGGGCCTTGGGCCTGGGTACTAGCACTTTTTAAAGCTGCCATGTGACCCACTCTGAAGCCAGAGTTGAGAACCACTGAGCTAGACAAGAACCTGGGGTCATCACATCCATCGTAGTCTCTCATTCCTCATCCCTGGGACCATGGCAGACTTGACTAGTGGATTATGGAATACTTTCCTGTTGTGCCTAACCTCGCCTCCTCCCCATATTGTTCCTGGAAGCTACCACCTGTCCATCAGCACTGGGTGACAACTTGAAACCTAGCTACAACTGGTCACTCACTGTACCTTGCTTCCTCTAGACAAAATTATAGAAAATATCTGAAAGTATTTTTCTGGTAAAACTGATAGTCTGGGGTATTCATCTCAGTCCATTAGGGTTCTCTACTGGGGAAAACCGGGGGGTGAAAAGCCCCGGATTACTCAACGAGGTTCTGCTCTAGCTCATTCTGCGGAGAACAGCTTCTCCTTTCCCTCTACACACAGACATAGTTGGGTTGATCTAGGTTTGCATCCTAATCTGCTATTGACAACCCATGTGACTTTGGGCAAGTTCTCTGTGCCTCAGTTTCCTCAACCGTAAGGAAGAATAATGAAACTATCTCATGGGTTCATTCTTCTTGCCTTTCTTTTGGTATTGATCTCTAGCAAACTGAAACCTTATCTGTCTGAATCCTCTTGGCTCCCTGATAACAACTTGTTCTAATGAACAAATTTTTTTTTAAAGATTTTATTTATTTGACAGAGGGAGCAAGAGAGGGAGAGGGAGGGAGAGAGAGAGAGCATGTGTACAAGTAGGGGGAACAGCAGGCAGAGGGAGAGGGAGAAGCAGGCTCCCCTCTGAGCACAGAGCCTTGTATGAGGCTTGATCCCAAGACCCTGGGATCATGACTTGAGTCAAAGGCAGACACCCAACCCACAGAGTCACCCAGGTGCCCTAATGAACAAATTCTTGATAGAAAGGGTTTGGTCCTTAGGCCTTACTCACTAGTATTGAGTGCTTATAATGGCCTTCTGAAGACAGTGACTACGTTTCAACACATTTTTTCCTTGGGTACTTTGTACTTCCCTATCCAGAGATAAGCTTTGAAGTTTCCTAACAATCTGGATTTTATTAGAATCAATTCTATTCAAAACTGAGAGCAAGGTGTGTAGACTGCTGACCTGGATGCAGCAAAGAGTCCAGTAGCCTGGGTCACCACTCAGGGCCATGAGACTATGTCATGCATGGAAACCGCCTTGTTTCTAGTTGGAACCAGACTTTCAGATCCAATCCCCCAGAGCTCTGATCCCTATTGTTTTTTGATTGAAACGTAAGTTCCTTCCAGGCTCTCATCTCAATACTGCTCCATTCTTCTTACCCATCTCTTGCCATCCCCTGTTCCCCCATCTTCTGTCTTGGCCAACTTTGTTCACCATGCCTGTTCTATGGTGAACTCCATAAGCCCTCCCTCCACCTTAACTGAACATGGCTTTCTTGGGAATGCCTCCTTGAAGTCCTTTCATTCTCAGAGTGTGGGATGCCATTCTTCACCCCCTGAGTTCAACAGGTGAGGATGTGTGGTCCTCCTGGAGGGAGGAGAAAGAGTAATTGTGAACAGTAGTACTACACATATTCTTGTCACTCAGAGAAAGTGTTTGTCAGCCTTCTCTCTCAACTGCTTCTTCCTGTTAGCTCAATTTCTATTCTAAGGGGTACAGGGGACAGGTTTCCTAATTCAATCCTACTTGCCTGGGCAGCTCCAGATCTTACCACTCCATTCTTCCACATTCATTACAGAAAAGCCAAATCAATTTACTTGTCATTCTTTTAAAATATTAAGACAGCTTAAGAATCATCTTCTATAAGGAGGAAGAACCTTCTCTCCCAACCTGATTTAGATGCCTGTTCCCTGTAAGGACCCTGTTTATGGTTGACTTCTTTCCCCCACTGACTGAAAGCTCTAAGAGGATGCAGGTATTATCTTTTTGAAACCCCGTCTCTCTGACCCCAATATCTGGGTGCTTCCCCACAAGTACCTTACCTCTCAGTGTATGGATGGTACAATACTGGGCCCATAAGTTCTTTTAAGAGGAACAGTATTCAATGCCATTTTCTAGTTAGAAGGAAACATGTGATTAAATCCAACTCTCATTTTATATATGGGCCCAAAGACACAGTGGCTTACCCATAGCACCCCAGGAAGTTAGTGGCACAGCTGTCCCAGACAGTTCCCCCTAAACCACTGAGAGATCATTCAAGACTTTAGAGCTCGAAATCTAAGCTTCAAGATGAATATGCTAAACACACAAATAATTGTAACACAAGGTATTATATGAGAAGTAGAAAGTTTGAAAGCAGATGAAAGGGGGAGGAATCACATCTTCAGGTC